CCTGTCTATTAATTAATGAGGCTCTGTTGGATCCTGCCAGATCCAGCTGACAGACCCTTGCAGCGATTCTACTAGCTTGTAAAAAGGGCTGTACAAATATGTCCCAGCTAAAGGCTGAGTTTCTGATCACCCATCCAACGGTGAAATCACTGGTTTTGGAGATAGTGAAAGAATATGGCAAGCAACATTGTGTGAAGGACCAAAACCACCTCTATCTATTCAGCAGAAAGACCTACTAATCTGTGACTTTGCAATTTAGGATCACACGCTATCAAGCTCTCATAGCTAAATACAGTCATTCAAATTATACCAAATTCACAACCTTTACTGAGCATTTGCTGGCTGATAAGCATGAACCATTTCGGGCTGTTTTTAGTGCACGTCAGTTGTTAACTAAAATTCTGCTAAAAGCCTCATTGGACACAGCCAATACTGCCGTTCTCCAGTGGTAGTCATGTGGAGGGATTCTTGTCACTACCTCAATGACTGGCTAGTCACGGGCTGGTCCTACAATGAGGTTTTTGATGCCATACAGACAATGAGATCCCTGTTCTACAAGCTGGGGTTAAGTTCACCATCAAGAAATCCCCTTGAGTGCCATATAAAAGAGAGTTCATAGGTGCCTCCTTTAATGCTATACCATCCAGGGCCTGTCTTTCAACAGATTCTCAATGTTAGTAATAGGGATGTAAGCAACTAGTCAACTATGTGGTAAGCATAAGCAAATCGTTGAGTCGAGTAGTGACTCAACTAGTTGCTCCCCCGCCTTGCTACCTCTATCAGAGAGAAGCGGAGCAGGGGTAGCCAGAACCAGTGCTAGAGGGAGCCGGTTTAAAAGCCAGTTACTCCCAGCACCATCTCTGCAAGGGGAGGCAGAGGCACAGCAGGGAAATAGTGCAAGCAAGGTGGGGAAACAGGAGCAGGAGCTGGTTTAAAAGCTGGTTCCCCCCCAGCATCATCTCCAGGATGCCACTTGCCCCTCCCCCCTACTGCCTCTATTGGAGGCAATGTGTGTGTGTGTGTGGGGGGGGGGGGGGGGGGGGGGCT